AAATAAAAATAAATAAATAAAATAAAGGTGTTCATCTACAACTAAAAAATATTTTAAAAAATAGGTAAGTAAACATTATCAGTTAAATGGAAGTCCTAAGTTGTTCAACCAGAGAACAGAATAATATTCTCTTCAAAATCAATTTATGGTAGATGAAATAAGACATTATCTTAGCTTGAAGAAGCAAATGTCTCCATGTTCAATATCTGAAAATCGGATTGAGGGAAGGAATAAGAGATCAACAGAGGAAAATATAAGAACTATGAAAGACAGAGCAGAAGTTTGTTAAAATGGGCTTAAAACAAATAGTTTTGCTACAGTTTCCAGTTTACTTTAATTAGAGTTAATGATACAGATTTGAATTTGGTGTTAGCAATGTTTACTAGATCATTAAGGTAGACAGTGTCCATAAAAAAATCAAAGGATGACAATTAGAAAGCAGAAACCCAAGTATTTGTGGGATTGTTAATTCCTTAAGCATTCAGGTACTTTCTTTGCTACCTTTGATTGATGCCAACTAAAGAGTAATAGCCAACAAGGATGAGCTATTCTGTGTACTATACATGGCTTTAAAATGAGATATATAGGATTAAATTCAATTTGCCTTTCAATTTTTATCATATTTCATTTTCAAATCATTTTTCAACTGAAAGCATTTCAAAATGCTTCAGAAATTTTACAAATGCAGTAATCATATTATTTGATACTGAAATGAAAATCTTTCTGAGGTGGAAAATGGGAATTATTCAAGAGCAAACAGTATACATTACAATCAATTATATCCTAAATAACAAAATCTCTAGTGCACAACAAGCTATTACAGCTTCATAGGAATTCAGAATGTTGTACTTAATAAAGCAATTATAATCTGTCATTCCGTCCTCAAGATAAGCAGTACTGCCCTGGAGCTTACCTCATGGATTTCTTTGGTATAAATTAAACCTACTGGAGTATAACTAAGAATTTTTAAATGTCATATTAATTTAACTCTATGGGATATGTAACATGTTTCTAAATTCTAATATGTTCATGTTAATTTTATAGAATGCCAACTAAAATTAATCTTTTGCAGAGAAAGTACATTAAAAACTTATGTAGAATATTATAATTATATCTGCAGAAAAAGTAATTATTAAGATAAACTATGAAAAATGAATTTGTGTAGATAGGATTACAGGTTTTGTTTTTATGGTAATGGGGATGGAACCCAGGGCCTCATATATGCCAGGCAAGTAGTCTGTCACTGAGCTACATCCCCACCCACCCCCATTTTTTAAATTTTGAGGCAGGGTCTTGCTAAGTTATCCAGGCTGGCCTTCACTCTCAACCTCCTGAGTAGCTGGGTTTACAGGCATGCACTGCTATTTCTGGTGAATTGTGTTTTTAAAGATGTTATATTATGCATTATTATGAAAAAGGGTTTTTTTTATGTACTGTCATATGGGCACTATTGATTTATTTGTTGTTGTTTTGTTTACTTTTCTTAGAGGTGCAAAGAAAATCCAATTATAAATGACTCTGGTCTAGTGTATCAAATTGGCAGGCATTGGTGACTAATTGTAGAAATCAAGGATGAAGTTAAATTAGAGAGGAATTCAAGGTAGGAATTTGAGTTTAGGTCTTGCCATAAAGATGAATGAGGGGGCTGGGGATGTGGCTCAAGCGGTAGCGCGCTTGCCTGGCATGCGTGCGGCCCGGGTTCGATCCTCAGCACCACATACAAACAAAGATGTTGTGTCCACCAAAAACTAAAAAATAAATATTAAAAAAAAAGATGAATGAGGATGTGGGCTGGGGTTGTGGCTCAGTGGTAGAGCACTTGCCTAGCAAGTGTGAGGCCCTGGGTTTTATCCTCAGCACCACATAAAAATAAATAAATAAAGGTATTGTGTCCAACTACAACTAAAAAATAAATATTAAAAAAAGATGAGTGAGAATGTGACCTTTGAGACAGATGATTAAAGTAGTCAAATACCCATAAACAAGCTTTTTGTGATCATAAGAGAAAAAAAAATCAGGCCTAGAGATACAGATATACAATACAGGTCACACAGAGAAGATAGTGGAAGGTGTTGCAAGTGATGAGTTCACCAAGATAAGATATTTAAAATAAGATAAAAAAAGACAGGCAAGAAACCTTAGTTCTAGGAAATAGATGGTTGATGTGAAACTAATGAAAGAGATTAGAAAGGAGAAAGTGGGGAGGAAGGAGAATAACTAGCAGTGTGCAATGACACAAAATCAACTAGTGTTAGAACATTTAGAAGTAAATATAGGGTGGCCACTATAGAGTGAGCTAGATGTGGATGATATGATGGAAATTGCATAGAAGATATTTTTTACACTGGCAGAGGTAATTGGGTAATAGTAATAATATCCATTTAGAGAAACAGAAATCAAGGCAATATAGCAGATTAATGGAAACCCATATTATAAGATTTCAGCTATTGAGGAAATTTCCATCCTACTTTATTATAGTCAACAAAGGAAAGCAGTTCAAAACCAATTTCTTTTTTTTTATATTTATTTTTCAGTTTTCGGTGGACACAACCTCTTTATTTTATTTTATGTGGTGCTGAGGATCGAACCCAGTGCCCCGCACATGCCAGGCGAGCGTGTTACCGCTTGAGCCACATCTCCAGCCCCAAAACCAATTTCTTATGCTCAGCTTTTATACAAAGAGAGATGTAAGCTAACTTCTCATATGCCAACTATTTTATTACAGAAAACTTTTTCCTGGCAAGGATGATTTTCAATTTAAGAAACAAAATCAAGAGTGAGTGTTATCAAATTCTTTTTTTTTAAATAATTTTATTTACATTTTGGTTTTTGGTGGACACAACATCTTTGTATGTGGTGCTGAGGATTGAACCCGGGTCGCACGCATGCCAGGCGAGCGTGCTACCGCTTGAGCCACATCCCCAGCCCCGTGTTATCAAATTCTTCATTTAATACATGTGACTTAAACAAACCTGCAGTGGGGTGGAATCACCCCTCATTGGTTATTTCATGGCATTGCCAAGTGAGTTCTTGGGGAATTCACCAAAATGTGTTTCTGGAGTTAGGTAGGACTCACTCTAGGGTATCCACATGATTGTGGTTGGACCTTAATTTTCACAAAGGTGAAATTAAATAATGTTTGGCCTTGAAGTTTCTATGATCTCTTGATCACAACTAAATCCTTGATGACCTACTAAAGCCTGGAGACATCCCAGGTCAGATTTTATAGTATTGCACTGCCACTGAGCCTACCCCTGAGTCTATGAGTCTGTGTTTCTTATAGCAGATCAAGTCAGATTTGAAACTAGTTGATAACTGTCCTTATTATGGCTCATATGTAAACTGCCTTTTCAATTGGATCTATATCCATGACATAGTGCAGAAAATTATGAAAGACTCTAATAAAAATGCTAGTATAATTTTAAAAGTGAGTTTTTATGATAAACCATTGAACAAAGGTAAACAAAACAATCAAACTCACTAAGTGGAAATGGTCACCAATTAAGGATTTGGAAAATAGCTTTGGTCTATGGTAGAAAAAGATGATGAAATGGTTATCATTTGAGCAGGGTTATTCTTTGTCAGTTAAGTTGAAACAGGGTAAACCAACTAAGGGCTTTTGAAAACTTTAATTTTCTGTTTTGGGGCAAGAAGAACTGATTCATTTGCAGATAGACTTGTCTGTCATCTAGAAAAGACAGATTATAATATATTTGGACTGTAAAATCAAATAAATTTAAATAAGACTAAAATAAAAGTTTGTAAAATGGACAGGAATATACAAGATAAAAATTTCAAAGGGGTAGAGAATGAAAAGTAACCTCATTCTAGAAAGGCTATTGCTTGTTTCTAATTTTTTTTTGTGTGTGTATCCATACAGAAATAGAAATATTCTAGTAAGCAAATAATTTGTGTGTGTATGTGTGTGTGTATTCCTTTAAAAACACAAGTTGGAACATAATTTCTTGCTAAAGAATGTATCTTAGATATCCTTTTCTATTAGTAGACATAAATCTACCTCACTCTAACAATTGCATAATATTCCACAAGAGGGATACATTCTTACTTATTTAGCCAATATCATACTTATGGATAACATTTTTTTTTCTCAGTCATCTTCATTTTCTTTTTTATTGTCACTATAAATTGTTTATTCAAACATAAAACAATGGACAGTGAAAAATATACTTTTGTTGGTAGTGGGGTGGGGCATGAAAAGGGCAGGGACAGATGAAGAACAGCCCAGAAGGAAAAACAGCTCTATCCACCCATTCTGCTTCCCTGGCCAGCCAGGTTCAAAGCCCTTCAAGCGCAGCTCGCTGGGCTGCTGTAAATACATACTGTGATTATGTGCAAGGGGTTGTTTCGGTCTCCACAGGGAGAGGATGGGGGGGGGTCATTTACTTTTTCAAACAATGCTGTGACAAATATATGTTCATATACATGTTTGTGCACAAGTATGTATATATAGCTAAGATAAATTTATAGAAATGAAATAGTTGCATTTAAAAGGAATAAATTTTGACTGATACTGAAACATTGCTCTCTAAATATGTTTACAATCTCACTAATAGTGGATGGGAGTGTCCGTTTCTCCACAACCTTGCCCACAAAATTTTAACTTTAGGTAATTGGAAAGAGAAATTTTTTTTTCATTGCATTTTTAGAATTATAAACATGATTGATAAATAATACTTCTTAAAAATATAAATTAGTGATAAAACTGAGAAATTTCTAAAGTCATAAATGGCTTTGGTTGAATTTCAGTAGAGGGTTCCCCGAGAATTAGTTATCGTAGAAAGACAAATTAATTGTGTTGATAGGGTGCTTGCATAATGCATAGAAATAAACTTTTCTTTCTTTTTTTTTTTTTTTTTTTAGCAAGAGACAGTTTCATAGATAGGTTTCATTTTTCGAAAAAGGGGAAGAAACACCATTCTGTGCATTCTGTGGCTCGATGTGGGTTCGTCAGTTATTACCCACCCCCCATTTCCTGGGACTTCCCACTGCTTCTTTGTACAAATCAGACTTGTGCAAAAACAACTCTTTTTCCATAGGATCAGTTATAAAAAGAACTGCAATGAAATGAGCAGCTTATTTTCTCAGTCTCATCAAAGACTTGCAAACGTTCTGGAAAGAGTGTTGGCTGGCTTGTTCATTTCTATTGGGACAATCATTGTGTTTCTGCAGGACCAAAGTAGCAGACTGGCTAGTGAAGGTAAGAAAAAGGAGGCAACGGGATTCTGATAACATTTCCTTCCATTTCTCTTCTCACTTTCTTAACCCTTTATTGTCAGAGTTCATCTAAAATATTTTTAAAGCTCACCAAATCAGAGGTGAGTAGGAGTTGAAGCAAGCATTGAATGGGCTTGGACAATAAAAAGGAATTCAGCTAAACACTTTCTTTTCTTATCTCCTTGTGTGATTCCTGACATTTAAAAAAATTAACTTGAAATTTTTTGACTGGTCTGATCAAATTCTTTGTTGTATAATTTATTCAGTCCTCTTACTGGTTGCTGTGCCAGTTTAGTTTCCACATTTTTAACAGAAGGCCTAAAAACTTAAGTAGGATTTTGCAGTGACAACGTGGCTCTTGAATTGTTACAGCAATGAGTTATAGAGACAAACACAATCACAATGCATTCTAGTTGGATTTCACTCTCAATTATTCAGTTCACCAAGCTTTGATAGTGTTGTTCTATGTTCCAACATATATTCAAAGTGAATCTGATCTGTAATGATGATGCTTTTCAAATTGCCATCTGGGTGATTTAGGAAAAGCCTGCTTTAGGATATTAAGACTTTTGTTAGAAATATCTTTAGACCTGCTGAAGCATTCTTTTGCTTTGTGCACATGCTTCTTGAATATATGCTTGCATATAGACCTTGTTTAGTTAGAATATGCATACTGATTTTTTATATAACATTCCTTGCATAATTTAGTGTAAGGCAATTGTTTCATAGCTTGAAAAGCTTGTAAGAGTAAAGAGTATTTGAAATATGTGTTAAACATCCATATCATGCTGATGATTTTGAAGATTTACAAGAGTAGTGCACTACTTATTATCTAGAACAAAGTGATGTTTGAAATACTTACATAAAGTCACCAAAACATTTCCAAATACATATATAATTGTTATTTTAGGTATATAAGATATTGTCCCTGTATTCATTGACCCCTGCATTTTTATTCTTCAAAGTTATAAACCTATATAAAAATTGAAAGGATAGTACAATGAACACCTAAATTTCGATTATGTAGATTAATCAGTTGTATCATTTTGCCACATTTACTCTCTCTTTCTGTATGTCTTTCTCAGTTTTTTTTTTCTCTGAACCATTTCAGAGTATATTGTTGACTGTAGGACACATGTCATCCCTAAATTCTTGAGTATATATCTCCTAAGAATAAGGGCAGTCTATTTCATAATCACAGCACAATTGTGACACCAAGGCAATTTAATATCAATACAATACTATTATCTAACATATGACCCACATTCAATTTCTCCAATTAGCCACATGTTCTTTAGAAGTTTTTATTTTTTAATATTTATTTGTATATTTGGTGTTGGGAATTGAACCCAGGACCCTGAACATGCTAGGAAAGTGCTCTGCCACTGAACTACGTACCCAGCCCAGCTTTTTAATTTTTTAAGTCCCAGAACCAATCAAGGATCTTTCAGTGCATTTGGTTGTTATGCCTATTATTAAGTAAATGTTAATGGTAATAAGAATAATTAACAATGATTAACAATTATATCTTCAAGGAAATTATTATTTTTAGTCCTCTATTTTCTGTCAAAATACTCCTGAAAAAGTGATCATAAAGTTTAATTTTTCTATTGTGAAATGATAAGAAAGAATATGAACATAAAACCCAATTATGACAAAAATTTAATATTTCTGCACTAAATTTTACATCTTATGAAATAAGGAATTTCACATATCAGGTTCAGCCCTTGGAAGTAGCTGTTACCTTTGGACATAAAAATCCAAGCAGAACCAAATAGAAGATCATTTATTTACTTGGTGAGTTTAATATGGACAAAAGGATGATCTTTGGTTTACAATTGTGTTGTCTTAACCAAGTTAGACTTCCAGAAATTCATTTGTTATATAAGAATTATTTTACAAGGCTGCTAAGCCTGGAAGATAAAGGATGCAAAGAACTCCCTTAAAAATCATTTTACATTTGGTAGAAAAGTAGATAATCCCAGATTATGTTTTGTAACAAGGATTGAAATAGGGATGAGTGATTCTTTAGAGCAGTAAGAGGTAAAATAATAGGGATATGATCTAGGACATGTGATAACATGATTAGTCATTTCTAGCTCTAAAGAACAGGTATGTTAAAAGGTAAGACTAAAGAAGCTGTCAATGCTATTTTACAGAGGGAGGACTTTCCAAAACAACAACAATAACAACAACAACAACAAAAAACTCCTTTCTTGAGTAAAATACTTGCATCATTCACTGAAAACAAAACACATAAGACAGATTTGGTGATACTGTCCAAATTAGCTCATAAACAAAACAATATTCAAATTTTTATTTTTTGTCTTTTTTTCTAAAAATTTCAATGATAATTTAACAGTGGTTTATCTGCAAGTCCCCCAATTCAATATGGTCTTAAAATATTAAATTGGAATTATAGGATCTAGAATTTATATTACAGGAGAAATAAAGAGATGAAATAGAGGATTTCGAGGTCTGGGGGTATTAACAAATAACATCTCTGTTATATGACTTCACATGATCTTAAAAAACAGTTTCCTTCACTCTCAAATTCGAGACAAGTATAAATTTGCTTATCTAATTGGAGAACTAAAAAAAGTGCTGCAGATTATCAGTGGAAACAATTTTTTTTTTGGTACCAGGGATTGAACTCAGGGGCACTTGACCACTAAGCAGCATCCCCAGTCCTATTTTGTATTTTGTTTAGAGAAAGGGTCTCACTGAGTTGCTTAATGTCTTGCTGTTGTTGAGGCTGGCTTTGAACTTGAGATCCTCCTGTCTCAGCCTCCTGCGCTGCTGGGATTACAGGCATGTGCCACTGCATCTAGTAGAAACAATCTTAAACATTGCTGATGAGAAAAGAAATTGTTCCAAGCTACTTGAAAGGCAGTTTGTTAATAGCAGTGATCTAGTAATTCTACTGCTCCAAATCTGGCCTGAGGAAATAGTCATGGAAGCATGTGCCAGGATTACACATAGTAAAAAGCAAGAAAAACCTCAACGTTCACTATGAGTAATTATTTACTAAATAAAAATAAGATGTACCTATAGATGTATTATTTCATAACTGTCTAAAAATAGATCTACATAAGCAGACATGCTGTTAGGTGGGAGGCAAACTGCTCCCAGGCCAGACTGGCTCAAGATTTTCCATGAAACAGAAGATAACATTGGCATGTCTTTCATTCCATGAGTTTGTATCCCATGATGCTGCTTGGCAGTTCCATCCCACTGCCTTCATTTGCATTTGGCCACTGGAGGTATCCTTTGTACCCATCTCAACCCTGAATCTTTTTTTTTTTTTTTTTTTTTTTTTGCTGAGGCTGGCTTTGAACTCTGGATTCTCCTCTGTCTCAGAGCCCTCCCCCAGCTGCTAGGATTACAGGCCTGTGCCCCCAGTGATCTTACATCTTTTTTTTTTTTTTTTTTTTTTTTTTGAGAGAGAGAGAGAGAGAATTTCAATATCTATTTTTTTTTTTTTTTTTTTTTTTAGTTTTCGATGGTGTTTGTATGTGGTGCTGAGGATCGAACCAGGCTGCACGCATGCCAGGCGAGCGCGCTACCGCTTCAGCCACATCCCCAGCCCCGTGATCTTGCATCTTAAAGTGTCTAAGTTTGCCCTTGCCCAAAATATTCTTCAAGAAGCTGGATCTTTTCTTATTCTTTTTCACTCCAAATTCTCTCATTTCTCATCAATCTTGAACTTTCTTTCCTTCCTTCCTGCCTCCCTTCCTTTTTCTCTCTCTCCCTCTCCTTCTTACTTTCTCTCTCTCCTTTCTTTTGCTATTGCCAGTTACTTTTTCACTCCAAAGACTATTGCAATGATTTATTTCACTGTTTATGGTAGTGGCCAGGTTTTCTGAAATTTCCATGCAATCCTGATGAATACCTTGGGGTAAGGGAGGGAAGAACCCTTTCTAATTTAGGGATAAGGATTCTGAATGGCTGGCCAATGGCTCTGAAATGTTAATATTTGAGATGAAACCTGAAAGTTATGGGTGGTGGGCCACAGGATGGACATTGAACCAGAGCAGTCAGGACAGAAGAAAAAAATGTACAAATCCCTGGAATAGGAGTAGGATTTCGGGGAACTGGGAAGGGCTTAACATGGCTGGCATTCTGGGTCCAATGGAGAACAGGCAGAGATGAGGTTAAGAAGACAGACAAGGGGCCCCGGGTTGTAGCTCAGTGATACAGTGCTTGCTTAGCATGTGTTTGATCCCCAGCATGGGTTTGACCCCAGCACCACATGAAACTAAATAAACAAAATAAAGTTATTGTGACCATCTACAACTAAAAATATTTTTTTTAAAAAAGAAGACAAAGTATTCCATATTATAAGGGTCTAATGTGTTTGGATATTGTCCTGGAGGATATGGGACATAAGTGATATTTAAACAGGGCATCTGGAATATTAAATTATTAAATAACCCAGTGGAAAGTGATTGTAAAATTAGAGATGATACAATTCTAGGCTATAGCAATGAGACCGTTTCAGGAAAATGGTCATATGGTTGGATTTTAAAAATAGAGGATAGGGGCTGGGGCTGTGGCTCAGTGGTAGAGCCCTTGCTTAGCATGAGTGTGGCACTGGGTTCGATCCTCAACACCACATAAAAATAAATAAAAAAATAAAGGTATTTTTTTGCATCTACAACTACAAAAATAAATAAATACAGGGCTGGGGCTATGGCTCAGTGGTAGTGCGCTCGCCTAGCACGTGTGAGGTCCTGGGTTCAATCCTCAGCACCATATAAAAATAAATACATAAAATAAAGATTTTAAAAAATAAAATGGTGGAATTATTTTTAAAAATATAATGGAACAGGAATATTAAAATAAATAAATAAATAAATACAAAAAATAGAGGTTAAATTATTTGTATGTCTCAAAGACACATGAGCATTGACCTGAAGTTAGAACATACGGGGTAGGTGCTGGCTGTCCCTCTTGGAGCCTTTCTTTCTGTACTTCATGGCACCTTCCTTCTTTTATTTGGCAAATGTTGCTGTTATTAAATGGATTCAGGGCTTATATCCTTTTTCTGGAAGTACTAATTGCTTGTTATCATGGCTTTGTGATATTAACTCCTCTTATCTATGCAGTAGAGCAAGATGTTCTAAGAACTGAACACATACTTTGGAGTTTGTAAACTTGGGCTTGAATTTTGCCTCTAGTAGTTAGTAGCTATATGACCTTGGAAAGGGCATCTGTCATAACTGAAACCCAGTTTTCTCATTTGGAAAATCCAGATTATGATAATACTTAATGTGTAGTGTTGTTGAAAGATTAGTTGTAATGGATGAAGACCACTCAATGCGTGGTGGCTATTATAATGGCCTATCCAATGTATTGCATCTGCTTTTTGACTGAGGTCAAGTGTAGGCAAGCTATGACCTAGGACTAAATTGGCCCTGTACTTTGGTAAGTAAAGTTTTATCAGAACGTAGCTACAATAATTTGTTTACATATTGTCTAAGGCTGCTTTTGTGCTATGATGGTAGATTTGCAAGACTCCATATGATCTGCAAAGCCAAAGTTTGCAGTTCATTCCGTTGTTTTTTTTTTTTTTTTTTCAAATGTGCCCTTTTATAAAGTTCCTCCCTCTTTAGGTTTTCCTTTTGACTCCATGCTTGTGTTGTTTGGGTGTAAATTAAAAGTGTATCTAAGCATAAGCATAGAAGCAATAACAACAATTTTCTGAGAACTTACACAAACATTAATATAGAAGGAAGAATTTATATTGTAGTTTCTTCTGAAAACAAAGTAAATGATTTAACAAAGTGCTGTACTTTAGCACATATTTCTAACTTGTGAATTTGCACATAAGGTTAATTTTGGTATTCCCCTGTCTGGTAATGATTAATGTAGGCTAAATATGCCTAGAACATCTCATCTGCAAATGTCCTTGAATGTCTTTTACTTTACACTTAACCAGTCATGGAGAAATTATACACACACACACATACACACATACACACACTAAGATATGAAACAAAAATTCAAGTAATAAAATATTTTTTAACAACCAAAGAAAACCATTAGGTTAAATTTTAGTGTCTCAGATGAAATTAAAAGATACATTAAATTTTTTTGCTTTTTAGTTATAAAATTTTATTATTTTAGCAACAATAATGTGTATTCATTTTAGGAATATGGAAAATACAAACAAGCAGAAGATTGTATTCATAATCCCAGCACTGAAACTGAACTTTTTTCTTTTTTTTTTTGCAGCACTGAGAATTGAACAAAGGAGTTCAATTACTCCACTAAGCTACATCCCCAGCCTATTTTATTTTATGGTCAGGGTCTTGCTAAGTTGCAGAAGCTGGTCTTGAACTTGTGGTCCTCCTCTCCTGCCTCAGCCTCACAAATTGCTGGGATTATAGGCCTGTGACACCATGCCCAGCTTGCCTGAATTTTTTGTCTCTTATCCTTCCCAAGTTTTAATGAGCATATATGTAATATACAAATGTACTTTTACCTTATTCATAAATATGGTATTCACATATTATTTAGTAACTTTTCCCCCCATTTTATATGCTAACAGGGACCTCTTTTTTATAGTGAGTAAATCTCTCTTATTCAAAGACTGAGACTTGTAGATAGGTTCAAAATACAATAAACAATGAGATGCAGATAACAAGAGCTATATCTAAAACCACTAATAGCAACTGGTTAAAAGTAGAAAGATGGGCAAAGATATATCAGGAAAAATGCTAATAAAACAAAAGCTATATAGCAATGTTAATATCAGATAAAACAGAAATCAAGGTAAACTACATCAAATAAGGGTAAGGATGGTTTCTATTGATCTTCCAATGCATCACTATAAGTTTGTTTCTTCTCTCCTTATCTCATCTATTTCATCCACTTCCCTAAACATATCCTCATTGCTCAAATGCCTGTTATATATATCTTCTTTAAAATCCTGGAGAGATTGAATCAGCCTTTCTCTAAAAGTTTCTTCTGCATTTTCCTCCTCCTCTTGTTCTTCCTCTTCCTCTGGCTGTTCCTCAGGCTTTGGCTCTTCCTCCAGCTTTGGTTCATTCTCATTGTCTGGTTTTTCTTCAATTTTCTGACAGGGTTTCATCTTGTGCCTCCCTTTCTTCTTTCCTGCTTATTCCTCTTTGAATGCAATTACTGGTATTGATCTGGTCTGCTTCTTTCTCCTACTTTTATGGCCTTGGAAGGTTCTAACAGACCTGCATAATTCCAGCAAGCTGAGTCCTTCCGCTGGCCTCCGGTGCTGCTGCCTGCACTGCAGAAGGGAGCTGGTACCCAGACGGGAACAAGGACCAGACTAGTAGGACTTCTGCACACATCGACTCCTCAAGATACATTAATATTTATTTGAAGTGTATTATTTAGAGATCCATGGATACCTTCTTGAAATTTCTTAAAATTATTAAGAAAAAAACCCCCAACTATTAATTAAAATACACCCAAGTAAGTTTTCTTTATTTCTCTATTTTTAAATTTTAGGATATTATGATGTGCAACACTGTTTTTATTCTACTGGTGCATTAGAGGCTTTCTATAAGATTAAATGTGTTAATATATGTAAAATTTTTGTTTATAAATTTTATGCATTAATCTTTGCACAGCTTTAAAACTATTTTCAGAAGCCTCCTTAGCATGCTTTCTGCTGCCCTCTGCTGCTAATTTTCAGAAATGTCAGATGAGTAAAGCTCATTTAACTCTTCATAAACTCATTCAATATTAAAGTTTGAGGATACTCTAAGAGATGGTTTAATTGCACATTCTCTCTCTCTCTCTCTCTCTCTCTCTCTCTCTCTCGGTGGTGTGGGGGTTATCAACCAAGTTATATCCCCAGCCCATAATTCTACATTCTCACCTTATTGATGAAAAGTTGAGTCTTTGAGGAGTTAAGTAATCTAAACATGGGCTCTGCTTTTTGACAGTGTTTGAATGCCTGATGACTTTGAACACATTACTCAATTTTGTCATCTGTAAAATGAGACTAGTAATACCTATATCTTAGAATCTTTGTGAGGGTAAATTTCTTAATTTTTATGTTTAAAAATTTTTCTTGGGATATTAGAGATTGAGTCCAGGGGTTCTCTACCACTGAGCTACATTCCCCAGCTTTTAAATTTTTTTTAAAATTTTGAGACAGTCTAAGTTGCCCAGGTTGACCTTAAACTTGTGATCTTCCTGCCTCAGCTTCCAGAGTTGCTGGGATTAAAATCATGCACCACTATGTCAGGGAAGATCAATTTCTTTAGTACATTATTATATGATTATTATATGGGTTGTATCTTATATACCTGGCACTAACTACACTAAAACCACAGTTAGTGACAAAGTCAGAACTAGAACTCTGCTCCATTACCTACTAAGTTAATTTTTTTTTGGCATCAGTGAGTCTGAACACATGGCTAAATTTTACCTTCAAATACAATTTTAAAAAATGTGATCTAAGCTGGGTGTGGTGGCGCAAGCCTGTAAATCCCCGCGGCTTGGGAGGCTGAGGCAAGAGGATTATGACTTCAAAGCCAGCTTCAGCAACTTAGTGAGGCCCTAAGCAACTCAGTGAGACTCTGTCTTTAAATAAAATACAAAATAGGGCTGGGGATGTAGCTCAGTGGTCAAATGCCCCTGAGTTCAATCCCCAGTACCAAAAAAAAAATGATCTATTCAATGCATCTGAAGCCCTTTCAATTTTTTACAAAGCTATGTGATACTGCAGCCTTTGCTGCTACTCCTTCCTCCTGATACTGTTCAAGGAGAGCTCCCCACACAAGTTATTATGAACACTCAAAAGCTCCTCCAATATGAATTCCTACTACACTTAGATGATGATTTCAAGTAACTTTTCTAATGTGCTTCCTGCCTGACTCTAATGGATAACTAGACACTTGCACCCAGATAGTTTATCTTAGTCAAGACAGACTAAGCTAAACCCATTATCTCCCTTCCTAGCTCCTCCTCCTGATTTGATGGTAAGTTCTGGTGCCACTTCCCAACAAATCCAGACTCAGAGTTCATCTCTCTTTATCTTTATGTCTGGGAGTCTTCGTCATTCATACTCATTCTTTCTCTTACTTAACTGTTCCCTGCCTCTTGGTTACTGTCCCAGGTGGGGCTGAATCCAGCAGCCTCCTAACTTAAGTTTCATATATACCTTATATACATAAACTGAAGATAACGTTCATTTTTTAAAAATTTTGTATCTTTTTACTTTTATTTGTGTATTTTAGTTATACATAGTAGTTGGGTTTATTTTGACAAAATCACACATACATGTAACTTAAAAAAATTAATTGTAGATGAACACAATACCTTCCCTTCCTTCTTTCCTTTCTTCTTCCATGCTGAGGATCAAACCCAGTGCCTCACATGTGCTAGGCAAGCACTATACCTCTGAGCCACAACCCTAGCCCCTATACATGGAATTTGACTTGCTCCTTGTCTGTCTCTGATGCCTCCCCTTTACCTACTCCTATTATACTTCCTCTACTCTACTGGTCTTAACTGAAGGTAATTTCATATGATATTTTAAGTGTACCTGAGTTTTGATTGTGACCCATCACATGAGGTCCAATGTGGAATTTTTGACTTGTGCTGTCATGTTGGCACCCAAGAAGTTTCAGATTTTTGAGCCTTTCAGATTTGGATTTTTGGATTTGGGATACTCAACCCTTAATTGCCTACAGGGTATGTATTTCCTGCCTTGTCCCAACTTATCTCCCTGACCTCATCTCCCAGTCCTCCCTCACAGGAATATCTTCCTTTTCTCAGGAGTGTATGAATCCCTATACACCGGGAGGTACTTTCTGCTTTTTGATTATTGGGCCTCCTACTTTCCTGGTCTTCCTTGGGCCCCACACATCAGCATGGTAAGGTGTTTATTTTGCCTGAACTAAGGCACCAACAAACCTCTCTGTAGATTACAAAGCGAGAGAAAGGCCCATAACTCAAAGCAAAAAACCTTCCTTAGGAATTTATTTATGATTCTATGTAGAACCTGGAGAAAATATACGTTAAACAGGCATTGTAAAGTATTAAGGCTATCTATCATACCTTCTTTTCCATCCGGGTTCCCCCCACCCTCTCTTCTTGTAATTTCCATCTGGGTTTATCCCTACCTTCTGTTTTCTACCTCTGGGACAAAGGAGTTGGCTGGAGGCATTTCCACAGTTGAGCCTCAAGGTTTTTTATATTTGAAATAGGCCTGTTTGTGCTATCAGGCCCCCTTCCCCTAACAGGAGTTTTATCTCTTCCTGCCTAAGTAAATCCTGCTCTGTTTACTCATTAAAAATAACAAAACAAAACAAAAACTTCTTCCTTCACTGTTGCAGAGGAGTGGGGAACTATCTGAAGTTTTCATAAACAGCATCCACAGACAAAGAAAAGGGCCCATTGACTAATATGAAGAGAAAGAGGATAAATGGTGGGTGATGTGGGATATGTCTGAAAGGGAAAAGGGGTAATAAAAGTGGATTATGTGAATTGTGATAGTTTAGGAAATGTTCTTAGGTAAGCATGGTTCAAAAATAACACTTGATTGTACCTGGACTGTTGTCTTTCACTGACCCACATGAAAATGACCATATAGACTACTTCATTGTGTCACACTTCTCCCCCTGTCTGCAGTGCTTTTGCCCTTGCTTGCTGCTTGTTTCAAAGCTTTTTGTTCTATAGAACCAAAGGTTTACTTGCCCCAGACTTCTGTCTCTCTTCTTCAGTCCAAGAGTATCTTTACTCACAACTCAACTGTACAGGAAGGGCCACCTTCTTGTTTTTCCTCTTAGTTACTCTAAAAATTGTTTTAAATTTTAATTAAAAAATTGAGTCAAAGTTACATATGTGCATAGTTTGGGTGACAATTTTTTTTTTTTTTTTTTTGGTTTGGGGGATTGAACCCAGGGGCGCTTAACCACTGAGCCACATCCCCAGCCCTTTCTATTTTTTATTTTGAGCCAGGGTCTTGATAAGTTGCTGAGGGTCTTAGCTAAGGCTTGCCTTGAACTTATGATCCTCCTGCTTCAGCCTCCCAACTTGGTGGAATTACAGTTGTGCATCACAGTGCCTTACAAAAATCACATAATTCTTTGAGGTTTGTTATGAAAAACCAGCAGTTCCTGTGCCCTTATCCAGAAACAACAACTTTTATTTCCATTAACTAATTATTTAGTATTTGTCACAATTTCTTTCAATAACATGCTTATGTACTTTTTTCTTTTTTTAAATTTATTGACTTGTCACTATGAAGAAGAGAATTTGGAACAGGATTTCTCTTTCCTCCCCTGGTTTCCACCAAGTATATGTGACTTTATTCCATTACTCTCACCATATATAGTAAGCTTATAGGCAAATGCCTAGGATAGTTTTTATTGGTATTACATTAATATACATAATAAAATAATATTTCTTTCCTGACTTTACAGTCACTCTATGGTTATTTTAAAAAGGTAGTTAGCTCTATTTTTAGTGCTTTATTTAATGTCATGGTTATATAAAAGCTATTTACAACTCAGACATATAGTAAACCATAGATTTGTTTGTTTTTTGCTGCATGACTTTTAGGCTCAGTGGTAGAGTGCTTATCTTGCATGTATGAGGCACTGGGTTCCATCCTCAGCATCACATTAAAAAATAAATAAAATAAAGGCATTGTGTCCACCTACAACTAAAAATATATATTTTTTAAAAGTCTGAAGATTCTGGTTCTTGGTCTTTTCCGTATATGACATTTTTCCCTTCTGCAAACTTATAATATCTTCTCTTTGTCCCAACAATAAGAGGGGGTGCAGGTCTATTTTTACACAGTATTTTGGAAACTCACAGTCCTTCAGTTCTGGGAAGCATTCTTGAGTTGTTTATTTGTATTTCTTCCCTATTTTCTCTGCTCTGTCTTTCTGAACTATTATTATTCAGATAATGGTTCTCCTGGACTTGTTCTTTAATTTTATCTTTACCATTTTCTATCTTGTATTTTTGGTCTACTTTCAAAATAAAAAATTGCCTTAACTTTACCTTCTAATCCTTGTATTGAACTTTAAAATAGTGATTTTTAATTTCCAAAAGCTTCAGTGTACTTTTTAATTCATATTTTAGCAGTACATTATAATTATATACAATAGTGAGATTCATTATGCCATGCTCATATATGCATGTAAAATAATCTGATCAATCTCATTCACCAGTACTTTCTCTTTCCTTCACCTTCTCTCTCCTGATCCCCTTCCTCTACTCTGCTGGTATCCCTTCTATTATTTTTTAATTTTTGGAAGGAGAGGTACCAGGGATTGAACTCAAGGGCACTCAACCACTGAGCCACATCACCATCCCTATTTTGTGTTTTATTTAGAGTCAGGGTCTCCAAAATTGCTTAGGGCCTCGCTTTTGCTGAGGTGTCTTTGAACTCACAATCCTCCTGAGCCACAGGGATTACAGGCATGTACCACCGTGCCTGGCTGTTTTTGTATTCTTTTTATAAAAAATATTCTTTATACCTATATTTTGTTTATTCGGTATTTTTTTATGTGGTGGTTGGAATGAAACCCAGTTCCTTACACATGCTAGGCAACTGCTCTACAACTGAGTCACAGTGCTAGCCCTATTTTTGTATTCTTAATGATTGCTATTCTAACTGGAGTAAGATGAAATCTTACTGTAGTTTTGATTTCCATTTTCCTGATTGCTAAGGATATGGAACACTTTTTTTAAATAGTTTTTTTGGCTATTTGTATTTCTTCTTTTTAGAAATGTCTGTTTAGGGGGCTGGGGATGTGGCTCAAGCGGTAGCGCGCTCACCTGGCATGCGTGCGGCCCGGGTTCGATCCTCAGCACCACATACAAACAAAGATGTTGTGTCCGCCAAATACTAAAAAAAATAAATATTAAAATTCTCTCTCTCTCTACCTCTATCTCTCTCACTCTCTCTTTAAAAAAAAAAGAAATGTCTGTTTAGATCATATACCAATTTATTTAGTTCTTTGTTTTTCTTGTGTTGAAGTTTTTTTAAATTCTTTATATATTCTGAATATCATTTCTCTTTTGGAAGAGTAGCTAGCCAAAACCTTCTCCCATTCTATAGGTTCTCTCTTCACACTCTTGTTTTTTTGCTGTACAAAAGCTTTTTAATTTGATGCCGCCCCTCTTATTGGTTCTTTTTTTTTAATATTTTTTTTTACTTGTAGATGGACATAATACCTTTATTTATTTATTTATTTATTTTATGTGGTGCTGAGGATCAAACCCAGGGCCTCATGCATGCTAGGCAACAGCTCTACACCGAGCCACAACTCCAGTCCTCACTTATTGATGCTTGATTTTATTTCTTGAGCATTAGAATTCTTATTAAGAAATATCTCTTTTTCATAACATCCCATTTGCAATTCATGATTGTGATATGATCTTTTAACTCTGGAAATACTAATAGCAGATTTTGCCCCTATAGAGCTTTATCCTCTAAGTGGCTGTTTTTGACTCTCTCATAGCAGATCTTTCCTCAGATGTTTCAAAGTTCCAGTCATCTTAAAGGATGGGAATCCAAAAAGCTCAATGGGCTTAATTGATTGTAAGCTTAACTGAAGGGTAATTGCCCAGTTGAGTTGGGGAACTTTTGATGTCAATGGCTCTTCTCAAACTATAATAGTCAGATTACTCAGAACATTTTTTCTAATACCCTGCCTAGAAAGTGGATGACCCTGTTGCAAGCATTCTGGGAACTGAGTAAGGGAAAATCTGGGATCATGGATCTCTGCACCAACATTCATATATTTATTTAATCTATCTTTTATCAATTCAGTAATTCTATCCTCAGCTAGTATCCCCTGGTCTAGGGGGTCCTCTTTTATTATTCAGAGACTAAGTCTCAAGTTTTTCTTTGGGGTTGATGATAGCAGATGATCACCTGGCTGCATGGAATGAGACACAGGGTCTGGGTGTCAGATTTCCTTTTAAATAGACTTTCAATCAATCTTTTTTCTTTTTTTTTTTAACTTTAGATACACCATATAGCCTTTTTGCCCTTACCCCCAGAGGTATGCAGTGTTAAGAAATTCCTCAGGGCTGGGGATGTGGCTCAAGTGGTAGCACGCTCACCTGGTATGCATGCAGCCCGGGTTCGATCCTCAGCACCACATACAAACAAAGATGTTGTGTCCGCCGAAAACTAAGAAATAAATATTTAAAAATTCTCTCTCTCTCTCTTAAAGAAAAAAGAAATTCCTCAACTTTAGGGGAATTTAAATCATTTTGGCACTTGTATTTTCCCATGGCTCTTGTAAGTTTTCCCCGTCTCCTAAGACATTAACCCTTGGTCCACTACTTTTCAGCATATAAAATGTAATTGCTCTTGTTTCACCTCATGTTTCCCCTTTTCTTATGTGTTATATCTTTTACAAGCATCATTTACTGTTGTTTTGGTGAAGGTTGGGGCAGGAGGAAAAAAAACACATGCATATGCCTATTCTGCTATCTTCTCTGTAAATCTTTGCTTTTCTCTACCTTAATTTATCTTTTTTTGGGCTCACCTTCTCTGGAGAGGTGGAAAATTTCTCCCTGGCAATCAGGAATTCCGTAATCACTTTAGGATTACTTCCTCCTGGAGTTTACCTCTAAGTTCCAGGTTGCTTATATAGAATCATAGGTCAGTTAGGAATGGGAGTAGGTGGGGGCAATCTTTGTTTTTTACTATGTAATCACACTGATACACATGGAAACTTCTTGTCATTCATTTACCTAGCCCCTGGTTATACTCCATGGAGATCATGTCTACAATCTTTGTATCCCAATTCTAGGAATTCTCCAGTTTTCAAGCTCTCAGTACCATGCTGTGTGTAAGATTTGATGAAGTGACCTCAGGCCTGTCCTTTGGGTGGTCCACTGCACCACTGTTGAACATGAAAGAATTTTGTGAGGCTTTTTGCTTGCTCAGATTCTACATGGGCCGGATGCACAGACTTCATCTGTTTTTGGCTCCCTAAACCTTTCTCAAGTCATACTGTTTTCTTCCACGGTAGATTCAGATCACTTGCGTCTATTGTTAATGCATAAATATCATGCCCTAAATTCTTCATGGTTCTGAATTTTGAAGTTCAAAACTTCAGGTTATGGTATCTCGCAAGTCATTTCTCTAAAATTGTTGTTTTTGTCCAGAGTTTCTAAAGCTTATTTAGAAACTCAAAAGCCAACAGTGCAATTTTGCCCTGAGTTTCCACAATGAGGTTTTGAGGCCTTAAAAGCAATACCCTAGCTACAGCCTAGGAGAGAGACCTGAGGGGGAAGTAATTACATCACTATTAGGACTTTATGCTAATCTCTTTTACTTTGTTAATTATCTTCTAGTATGTAAAATTTGCCTTTTCACCCAGTTGTTAGGTTTGTTGAGGGCAGAACTGCACTTAGAAAGTTTTCTTCTCTCTCTCTCTCTTTTTTTTAAGGAAAAGAACAACATTTTCTTTATAAGTGCGTTTAGCAAACTAATTATTCATGGATTTATTGAAGACCTTTAACTTTGCAACTTTATGGCACATAATTGTGCCTGGAATATAGTAAACATTTAATTGATAAATTTGATGATTATACCTTAGAATGTTTGCAAAAAAGAAAATATATTACTCTTATTGAATTAAAAGAGAGGAGGGAAAAATAAAAATAAATAAAAGGAGGGATATATTTTATCTACCTGGAAAATAAAAACTACATGAATGTAAAAAAAGGGCTGACAGTTTTAAAAGGACCTTTATATATGGTTTTAAAATGATCCCTCTTTTCTAATATGACTTGTCAATTTCAGGGTCAAGTTGGTAGATCTCTTTTAGAAGCCCAGACCTTGAGGCCAAAGAGGACCAGTTTTCCTCACTGTGGCTGGTTGCTCCAGTGCCAAGAATGCCAGTGTGTTCCTTTTTTAGAAAATGCAGCTGTGGTTTCTGGCCTATTTTAGCCACTCCAGACTTCAATGACAACTGCAGAGGGTGGGGAGAGGAGGCAGGTGTAGGGAAAGCCCACTATGAGGAAAGCTCTGTGCTTAACTAGGGTAGAGGTAAACATACCAATTGAGTGCAGAGACATTTCCAGGATATATATTGAGAAGTGGAAGGTGTAGAGAAAAAAAAATCCACCCCGGTCTGCAAAGGTAGGAGAAACTGTAATCCTGCATCATGTGATGAGTATGAATTGATTTCATAGCAGCCATTGTTTCATTCAAGTTAACAAATACATTTTGGGTCCCTCCTAAATTAAAAAAACAAAACAAAACAGAAAACAGTCCAGCTCCCAGGGATACAATATAAAGATGAGTAAGACACAGCTCTTGTTTTTAGTAGAATTTGCCAGATTTCCTCACTATTTTTCTCATAGTCCACTAGCCATGTTGCTGTTCAAACTATAACTTCTCAATAACTCTCCATTCCTTCTGAGGCAGAATATAAATCCCTTTGCCTGGCTGTCAAGGGCCTTCATGATACAATTCCAGATGATTTTCCCAGTCTCTTCTGCTTGTGCTCAGATTCTTGGTATGTGGTGAATAGGTTGTACCACTATATTCTCTTATAACTGTGCCAATGGCTGGAATGCCTACTTAGTTTCATCACTCAACTGAAATGCCACATTCCCTGTGAGATATCCTGTGACTTCTCCCCTTTTACCCCAGGTTGTGTTAGAGTCCCCCCCTCTGGACTTTCTTTATGCCTATCACAATTATATCCCCAGTGATATAATATTGGAATTATTTGTATCTAGTTTATTTTCTTGCATAGTGAGAAACTTCTTGAAGGATGGAACTGGTATGTATCATTTCATCATTATATACCCAGAACATGCCATAGTTCTGGTATACAGGAGGCATGGAATTAGTAATGTCTTGGTGAGTGAATGAAATTATTTCATTCATCATCCTTTACATTTTTTTTTGTACTGGGGATTAAACCCAGAGGCACTTAACCACTGAGCCACACCTCCAGCCCTTTTTTGTATTTTTTAAATTTAGAGACAGGGTCTCACTGAGTTGCTTAGTATATTGCTTTTGCTGAGGCTGGCTTTGAACTCAAGATCCTCCTGCCTCAGTCTCCTGAGCCACTGGGATTACAGGCATGTGCCACTATGCCTGGCCATCCTTTATATTTTTGATATATTAATTGCCAACTTAAAAGAGTCCAGTCTTCTTTTTCCCCATTGTTACTCATCAATTCTCTTTCCAGAATGCTGTCAGAAGGGTATCTCAGTGGACTTGCCTACTGGAATGACATCTACTGGAATCACACATCTTATAATGAACAGGTGGCTGGGGAAAAGGAAGAGGAGACAACTTCTGTTGCTGCTCTTTCCTATTCCTCTGTGGATGAAGAGGAAGTCAGAAGTCTTTACATGAGCTGCAAATCCTCTGGCAAGTTTATTTCTTCACTGCACTCAAGAGAAAACCAATGCAACAGAAGTCAGAGAGTCACAGTGCTGCAGACAAACCCTAATCCGGTGTTTGAAAGCCCAAACTTGGCTGCAGTTGAAATATGTAGAGACCTCCATAGAGGGACCTACTTGGTTCCACCTTCCTGCAAAAGCATTTGCAAGAATTACAATGACTTACATATTGCAGGGGGACAAGTGATGGCCGTTAACTCAGTGATGACAGATTTTCCCTCTGAGAGCAGTTTTGAATGTGGTCCTTTGCTGAAGTCATCGGAGATTCCTTTGCCCATGGAAGATTCCATTTCCACTCAGCCCAGTGACTTTCCCCAAAAGCCTATTCAGCGGTACTCATCGTATTGGAAAATAACCAGCATCAAAGAAAAAAGCAGCCTGCAAATGCAGAAACCTATTTCAAATGCAGTGCTGAATGAGTACTTGGAGCAGAAGGTGGTGGAGTTATATAAGCAGTACATCATGGATGCCATGTTTCATGACAGTTCTCCTACCCAGATTCTGGCATCTGAACTCATCATGACAAGTGTGGACCAAATTAGTCTTCAAGTGTCTAGAGAGAAGAACCTGGAGACCTCAAAAGCTAGGGATTTAGTCATTAGTCGCCTATTACAGTTGGCATCAACTGAGATCAGTACACCTAGTCTTCACATTTCACAGTACAGCAATGTGAATCCATAGAGAGGATGCTTCCATCTCTTTCATCTACCCCAAAACAATACTATATTGATTTATTTGGAAAATGTGCTGGAGGGGGCTATAAAAGGGAGTCAAAAACCTGAAAAGCAAATGTTGGATAGAAATTAGGTGTGAATAAAGAAGAAATCTCTTAATATTACACATGATGAAGGAACGTGGGAAGAGAAATCATAATGGTTTCAAAGAGAGGTTTGCACAGCAACAAAGCAAAAATAAAAATGATCAAAAAAGAAAAGGTTGTGATCCACTTATGGGAGTATAAAAATCAGAAAAAAAGACAATCCAAATAAGAAAAAAAAAAAAACACGGCAAAACTAAAACCCCAAAAGTTTCAGGGTAGAGAGTTTAAAAAAATAGTGTTTTCTACCCAAATAAATTCCTCCAAGTTGTTTCTTCTTAAGGGAAATGGACTGCAGAAGGCTGCTATATTTGGGTCGAAAGACAAATTCAAACATTTTTTAAAAGTACATTTGTAGCTGTTTTCTGTTTTCTGTATCAGTAGAGCTATTCTTTGTAAATATTAAAACTGTACCAAATTGCAATTGTGGCTTTTTTTTAATGATTACTTAGCTACATCCTCAACCAAAAAACAGCCATGAAAATCCCCTAATTGTTTACTAGTGGAGATGACACTTTCTAAATGGAAAATACCAGAGTGAGCACTAGACCATTTAGTTTCATTATTCTGTGTATGATTTTCATCGTGGTACCAGGCTTCAAAAGAAATTATGAATATTGTTAGTTTCCCCATTTCCCTCTCCCTTATCTATATGTATTCTTGACCTGGAACATGTAAAGGGTCTTCTGTATCCTCAAAAGAATGTTACAAACCCTAGGGTCCCATAATTTCAAATTCTGTAAACTCGTTCACTAGAATTCTAGCTCCATGGTAGCTTCACTGCTCTCTCCTCTAGCTCAAGAGTTTGCAAATTATGGGCCATTGGCCAAACCTACTTTGCTGCCTGTTTCAAACTCCTAGAGCTAAGAATGACTTTCTCATTTTTAATTATATTGCTTAATTTTCCTTTGTAGTGTTTTGCTTGATATAGTACTTATTTTTATATTTTCCTTCGTGTGCTTCTCCATATTCCAAACATTTTTGGCACATAGTAGGCATCTAATTAATATTTGTCAAATGGATTAATATGTTTGGCTGTGTTGGATACTACAACTAGTGGTCAAAGTAAGAGACCATTAATATAAAAATCAGATAATTCTTTTTGTTTTGTTTTGTTTTGGGTAGGGGTACCAGGGATTGAACTCAGGTGCATTTGGCCACTGAGCAACATCCCCAGCCTTTTTTGTATGTCTATTTAGAGACAGGGTCTCACTGAGTTGCTTAGTGCCTCGCTTTTGCTGAGGCTGGCTTTGAACTCGTGATCCTCCTGCCTCAGCCTCCCAAGCCACTGGGATGACAGGCCTGCACCACCGTGCCCAATGTTGATTTTCTTTATCAAAGATGATTCCTGTCTATCTAATCTATCAATCCAATCTTATCTATCTCTGTCTATCTACTTGTCTATTTTGCATTTGTCTTGTGTGCTTTTGTGGTTATATAGAAAAATTTGTTGCCAAGACAATGCCAAGAAACTTTTTCCTGGTGTGTTCTTTTAAATTAAATTCACAATTTATTTATCTATTCTACTGTTAATGGATATTTGGGTGGGTTCCAGTTTTTTGGTTATTATAAAGATAGCTATTCTGAATAAAAACATTCTTTACTAATTTGTTACTGATGTATAGAAGTATGACTGCTTTTCACTTAAAATTATTAAGCCTTCATCGATGGGTGAAATAAGTTTGTTATGCTCCTTTATTGTAATTTTTTTATGTAGATTTAAAGTAGTTGTTTGTTTATTTAATTTTGTAGAGCTGGGGATTGAACCCAGGGCCTCATGCATGCTGAGCATGTGCTTTACCACTGTGCTACATCCCCAGTCTTTATGTTGTTTTGATATCATAGATTAGCAAGGTTAATTGTGGGGAGAAATCCTTTTTCTTCTCATATCCTCTTGGGAAAATTTGAATGAGATTAGCATGATCTGTTCTGAGCTTGATGTTTGCTTTAAAGGAAGATTTTAAATTAGTGCTTTAATTTCTTTAATATTAATGGAACTATCCATGCTTATAATATGTTCTCAAATCAATTCTGGCAAGTTATACTTTCCTAGGAATTTTTCCATTTTGCCTAACTTGTTAAAGTTGCTGGGTGTTAATTATCTTTATAATGTTGGTGCTTCTTTTTCATTTATCCCTCTTATTTTGGTGCCTCCTCTCTGTCTTTCTCTGTCTCTGTCTTTCTCTCTCTCAATGAATGTTGCTGGAAATCTGGCTATTTTGCAAGCTTTCTCCCACAAATAAAGCAAAAGTTACATAATATAAATACAAAAAAGGAAAACACATCAATATATTTGATTTGATTTTTTGTGCATTATATTATACATAATGGTAGAGTCATTTTGACATATTTGCAAATGCATCTCTCTCTCTCTCTCTCTCTCTCTCTGTCTATATATATATATATATATATATATATATATATATATATTTTTTTTTTTTTTTTTTAGAAGGGGGACTAAGAATTGAACTCAGGGGCACTTGACCACTGAGCCACACCTCCAGCCCTTTTTTGTATTTTATTTAGAGACAGGGTCTCACTGAGTTGCTTAGTGCCTCACTTTTGCTGAGGCTGGCTTTGAACTTGCAATTCTCCTGCCTCAGCCTTCTGAGCTGCTGGGATTACATGCATGTGCCACTGTTTGAGGGAAAAAACTTTTACAAATTCTTATAATTCAGCATAATTAATTTCCTTATTCTGTATAATTATAATGTACTAATAAAAAATAAAAATTCCTATAATTCCTTTTACTGTATTATTTTTTAATTTTAGCTAACAAATAATAATTGCATATATTATTTGTTTATTAAGCACAATGTGATGTTTTGATACATATTTATTTTGTGGAATAATTAAATCAAGCTAATTAACAAATACATAGCCTAGAGATGAAGACAGACCAACACCATCTTGTGGACTCCATATTCTTTGCCTAATGCCAGGAGGAAAAGTAAACCCTAAAGACTTTTTAGAAACAATAGTAGATTTGAAGAAGATCTAAAATCTAAAGTCATCCAAATACAACTATTTAAATTATTTAAATTGACTTGATGGAATTTACAAGGTTGGACTAAAATTTAATTTTTATTCTATTTGTAGAGTGAAGAAAAATATAGCAGCTATACAAAATAAAATACATAATTTAAATGATATAGCATAAGTAAGATCATTTATTAACTTCAGTGTAATTTATGATCATCAACAATTAATGTATGATTAAATATCAATTAAAGAAGAATGTTTACGTAGTTTATATATAGCATTAAGTGAGGTATTTTGCAAATTTATGTAAAGTACTATTTGTGAATATTACACCATAGTGTAAAAAATGATTATGCGGGGCTGGGGATGTAGCTCAAGCGGTAGCGCGCTCGCCTGGCATGCGTGCGGCCCGGGTTCGATCCTCAGCACCACATACAAACAAAGATGTTGTGTCTGCTGAAAACTAAAAAATAAATATTAAAAAATTCTCTCTCTCTCTTTCTCTTTAAAAAATGATTATGCTATAATATTAAGTGAAAAATCAATACATGATTTTGTATCTCCAGCATAATTTAATGTTTATATTTTTAAAATGAAGTCACCTTTGCATAGAAAGTAGGCTGGAAGAAGTAACACACAGTAGTCTACGTAATTTTATTGCTAATGGAACTAGGCATAATTTTTTGGATCTGTTTTTTATTTTCCAAATTATCTTTGTTTTAAAAAAGATTTAGTTGTAGATGGACACAATACCTTTATTTTATTTGTTTTTATTTTTTATGTGGTGCTTTGGATTGAACCCAGTGCCCTACGCATGCTAGGCAAGTGTTCTACCACTGAGCTACAACCCCAGCCCCTGCCACCCATTATCTTTAATGATAACAAACTGTATTTATAATGTTGATTTTGAAAAACTTACATTGGAGTATATAATTATTGAAGTGTCTTCTAGGTTTAAGATTCAATGATTTTAAGAACTGAAAGCCATTTATTAAAAAATCATATAAAGACATGATGCTTGCACAATAATTTGAATCACTTTTGCTTATTATAGCTGATGTCTAATAAATTGGGGTTGGGGGTATAGCTCAGTTGGTAAAGTGCTTGTCTCACAAGCCCAAGGCCCTGGGTTCAATCCCCATCACTATTACTACTACTACTACTACTACTACTACCACTAATAATAATAATAATAAATGTACGTCTCCATTTCTGAGTTATAAATAATAGTAATTGTTTTCTGGGATATAAGCAAAGACTGAAAAACTTCAAAGAAACAAGGTCACTTGTTAAACTTAACGTAGACCTACAATGGGGATATGCATGTTTAGAGGGGAGAAAAAGTGCCATTCAGAAAGTGAAACCATATAAAAGATACTTCAGGTTTCCAACAACCAAAGGCTTGCATTCCAGTACTTTTTTTTTTTATAGTGTTTTTGGTAGTGCCCCCCCACCCCACCCCAGGAGAATTCTGAAAAACAATGTGATGCTATAGTATGGACTTGTTTATTTATTTATTTTTTTAGCACTATAGCATTTTTCTTGTTAGCAATACAATTTAGAAAAACTCATGAGAAATGAAGTAATTGAAGAAGCCATTTCGTTTCCCTTATCTCACCAAGGATAGAAGATTTGGAAAAACTATGTCTATTAGATATAAATGTCTGGGAACTTCAGTGTAGCAACACAGAAAAGTTTATAGAATGGGAGGGTAATGCTGTGTGTGTGTGTGTGTGTGTGTGTGTGAAAGAACAGGACCACTTATTGCAAATTCAGTGTCACTCAAATTGTGCTCCACATGGCTCTGCTGTTCTGCAGATTACTTTTAGTAGAAAAATAGTTTTAAGTAGTTCATGCACAGACATTTGGCATAATTTTTAAAAATAGTTTTGTGTTTATTTCTTCTCTCTCTTTTTATAGTATTAGGGATCAAACCCAGGGCTTTGTACATGCTAGGCAAGCACCCTATCACTGAGCTATGTCCCCAGCCCTTTCTAGAAGATTTTGAGACAGAGTTTCCTCTAAATTGTCCAGGCTGGCCTTGAACATACAATCCTCCTGTCTCAGTCTCCTGAGTAACTGGGATTATGGGCATGCACCACCAAGCCCTGTTAAGTGTTATCTGCCATTCTGAATTATACATTTGTTAGTTTAGGAGCCCTCTCCTATCAACTTTTGTATTTTAGTCCAATTATTACTCAAATACTCCTAGATTCTTTAAAGTATCAATACCTCTTGGTGATATAAATCACCACTTTTTGTGTTGTCTTTTGTTAGAGGGATACCAAAGTGTGATATAGGTGTCCCAATGTTCTACAGCCATTAAAAAAAAATCTAGATTTTCATTATAGCCACTTTTTCTTTTAAGGACCCAAGAATCTTTTTTTTAATATTTATTTTTTTTGTAGTTATACACAATAACTTTTTAAAAAACTTTATTTT